GCCAAAGTAGTTCTTAGGTTAGGCCTCAAGAGAAGTACCTGTTAATCAGCAATTGTAATTTTGTATTARATTAAATGGCTTTCTTTCATTATGTTGCTCTTGTACCTTTCTACCTTACCTTCTCTTCAAGGAGAGAAATCTGCTGTTTCCTTTCTTTTGTCTTTATTCTAACAAGCACTGGACATGGTGTGTGGACTCATCACAGTGGAGACTACAATCAAATCCCTRTTCTAATGAAAACACAGTTATAACACGATATAGTGAATGAAATAGTGAAGAGATTGAAATCGAAGCCTTAAACTCTCTTGGCCAATGAAAATTTTGCGCTATTTTGCACTTTTTGCAAAATATTTTTATTATTTTGTTACTTGTGTTATTTTTACTGCTTCAAGTTAAATAAATATACTAATTAACTCTTTCAATAGCTTTCAAGTTTACCTAATAATTTCTATCCTTACATATTGCTCCATGTACTCCTTTGATCATTTATATAACTTTTCTGGGAAAAGAACACTAATTTTGAGAAAATTTCCCTGGGGCTAATGCCTATGAAAATGCAGCAGTCACATAAATACCCACAGTACTTCAGCAACTAAGACACTAGGAGAGAGGCAGTTAGTATTATTACAAGATATCAGGAGATTAGGTCTCCGTATGTCTCCATTCTTAAATGCATGTTTCACAGCAACTGCAAAAATGGAAGCCTGCTATACTTTTATCTTTCATAATGGTACTTTGCTTAATACTTTCAGAATATTTTACAAAAATACTCACATATAAGTTAGTTATAATTCAAGGATACAAACCACCCCCTCCCCCGAGGTTACCTATTTTGAAGTTGGAAGTAATTTTAAAGGTACAAAATCTGACCTCTTGTTTTATAACATAAAACTTTGTCTATTAATTCCTAAAGCAAATTGATAATTTATTGAACCAGAATCTCTCTCAAGGACAAAATGAGTAATTTTTGAAACCACATTGAAACTCATATTTATCAGCCCTTCTTGCTTTAAAGCACAAATGAAGCTGCATTCAAACTACCAAAATAAGTGAAGACACACCTGACCTTGTTCTTAAATTGCTGGAATGATTGAATCAAGTGCAGAAAAGTTTTATCTTTGCTTTTCTTTCTTGACCATATTTGAATGTATGGGTTTCTTCTAAAAGGATGACATGAAATGCTGAACTTTAGATTTAAGTAATGAAGGAGCTATATGTGAAAATGAAAATCACTGTGATGATATTTAAATTAACAATATTCAGTTTCTTACTATCTTCTGTACTGGACAAGGTGAAGTAGACACAGAATATAAAGATTAAGAAAATGAGAGTCAGCAAAGAGAGGAAGTCTGATTTCTTAGAGAAAAAGTCCTAAAGATGGAAGGAAGATAAGTAATCAAGCTGTGTAAGTTCTTTGACTTGGAAATATTTATTTCATATTTCCTTTGAAATGTGCAACTGTTGACCARTCTAATTAGGAGCAGCGTATGCCTTACAGATTTTCAAATAATGAAGTTGACTGAAGGTTCCCTACAGCCTAAAAGTTATAACTGAGAACATGATGCTTCTTTTAATGAACTCAAGATTACATGTTGACTGTGACCTTAAAAGAAATAAACAGATTACACCCATGCAAGAGGTATTATCATAGTTAGGGTAAGAAAAGAAGATGAAGTTAAGGTGCATCAGGTGGCTTAGGGGAGGAAAATGTACACTGTTTTTACCTTCTTTTTCACAGTATGGTCTTAGAAACATGTTTCAATAATCTTGAAGACAACTTTTTGGAATAGAGGTTCCTGATATCACCCTGTGTGTCAAACCCCTGCTAGTATAAAGGGTTATGTAGTACTCCTTCAGAATTTAAACCTGTTTTCTCTAGTAACCAAAGGGATTAAYCAAGAACCTAATGCAATTAATTTTCTTCTGCTTTCCAGTGTACATTTATTCACCTTATTTCCAATTTTTTCTCATGTTTGTCTTAAAAGATTCTTCTRCTTGAACATCTGTTACCCATAGTGTATCTGTATACATTAATACAGCCTCTCATATTTAGCCCTTGCTAAATAAATCAAGTCCTATAGGACTGTTTTCTTATGTCAAAATCTCCATCAGTTTAACTATTCCAGTAGCCCTTGTATTAAAAARCTTGCAGAAATACAAAGAGCTGACCATAAACACAGAGAGAAATCATGCTGAAGGACTGTGCAATAGTGTGAATGCTTCCTTTCCTTTGTACACACATTTTCAGTTCACTGAAGAGCCACAGCTTTTTTTCATTGGCAGATGTCTTCTTGGTTTTCACAACCAGAAAATCTTCTGGCATTTCTAGCTGAATGGATTCCAGATTGTAACAGAATGTGTTGTCATTTGCCCTTAATCTTACATGGCTTCAACATTTTGCAACTTATAACATATTTCATGGTTATCCTTACCTGTTACTCTAATCCTCATGGWCATTCATCTTCTGTATATCTTGATTTTTTTCAGTGCATGTGACTTTCAGCCACATCATGATCAGTGTTTAATTAATACCCACTCCCTTTTTTGGCACAAAGTTATTAACTAAAATCTCACACAAGCTGTCTCACAAAAGCCTGTTAAAAATTTCCTTGCGGTCCAAGAACATCCACCTTTRACAAAGTTCTCACTCCTCTTACAATTCTTCCACTGATTTTCCATTTTTGCAGTCAGCATGCTACATACTAAAGCCAAGAGGAAAACCTGAATAGTTTTAATAGTTAAATTAATGATGCAGATTTTATTTTGCAGAAGGATGAGTAAGCCTAGAGTACTAATTCTGATTTGTGTGTTACTGGGCTAACACACCATTCTTGAAGGCAAAATATTATGAAGCACACTCCAGCATTTCTGCAAGGACAGCTGTGTAATGGAAAGGATATTTTAGAAGACAATTGCGTCCTTTTATCTTTGTTCTTCTTGCTATCCAAGTGATCATTCTGCAGGTGTCCCAGGATTCCTTCTTCCCTTTCAGAAATTCAGCCTAAGCTTTTATTCTGAAAGCAGCTTGAGTCTGAGCTGGTTCATTGGCTTCTCTGTGCCACAGTATATTCAGATTATCCTATAAAAAACCAGTGTCCCTTCTATACCATTGGCTCAGAGTTTACAGCTCAGGCTTCAGGTTGAAGAAGGGCACCTAAGCCATTTGTAGAGCAGGCTTGGCCCCAGAAGCAAGTGTCATTCAACTCCATACTCCAGCTACTCCAGCTACTGAACACCAGCAGACACAAAATGGCTTTCCTCACAATTTAATGCAATATTATAATGTCTGCTGCCCAACTAATTCATAACCCWTCTAAGATGCTATTTTAAATAACACAGTTGACAATTACATTTGCAGTTTTCAAAGAATACTGTACTGTCTTGCATCATTTCAATTCCAAACCAAGCAAACCAACAAACTAACCCAGTTCTGGACCTTCAATTAAACATCCCCATTCTTTCAGAGTTCTGGAACTGAAATTATTTATGCTTCCCTTCCAAATCCTGATCTTCTAGTCTAAATTCATTGAACACTGTGAGTTCTGCTCCCCTCTAGGCTGCAGTTTTTCTCCCTTCACCTAGTAACTTCTGCATCTAGCACCACCTTCAACAACTCCATCCCTACTGACAAGAGACAAACTTTTTTTTTGTAGTTTTGGAGCAATGCTGAGAAGACACTCACTATGTATTCTATTATCCCATTCCAATGTCCTGTTTTTCCTTCACTCTTTCTTTAATCAYCAAGTAGTATTTTCCATTTGTTTTCATTTTTACCCTTTTGACTTTTGCACTTGACTTTAGATGGTGATTAGTCTTTTTCTGTTTTATTTACTGAAGGCTCACTACTTATGTCTCATATGCTTTCTGAGACACTTCTTTGCTCAGTGGGGAGAGAAAACCTTTTCCCTACTGTTTTTTTCCTATTCAGAATACAAGTTCAATGTATCTTTACCATATCTAAGTTAGAGTAATTTCTATCCTCCTCCATCATCAAGTCTCTGATTTTCCACTTAATTTAAATTYGTACGCTTGGAATCCCTATAATCTGATCTGTACCACTATGTCCCATCAAAACTAAGGTCAAAACACTATCATGTTGTTTGTGTGATTCTTCAGTAACCACTTCACAGAATAAYGGGATTGTGCTATTACTGCTCTTGTAGCAAGACAACACCCTCTTCTCCCACCAACGGTTTTTCTTCACAACCATTTTTATATTAGAATTAAGGCACTGATGTCCTTGCTGCCTGTAATGTTGGTATTTCCCCTCAATTTCTCACCATGGTGTTTGAGCTCTATAACGACAAAGGCCTTCTCTYGGGCCTTACATGGCTGGGCTAAGCCGGGAGATGCTTGCGGACAAACAGGTGAGGCACAAGAGACCAGGCGGGGCATCCCCAGAGAGCTCCACATGCCCCTCGCTCACCGCACCTGTAGGCTGGGCAGYGCTTGCGAGCTCCCTTCGCTCACAGCCCAGCAGCTCCGGCCCCGGGGAGCACGGCTGGCGGGGAGTGGGCATTACGGGCTGGGCAGGCGGTCACCTGCGGCCGG